CTGCACACAGCAACAAAGACCCAACACAGCCAAAAATAAAAACAAATAAATAAATTATAAAAAAATAAAAGTATCTCCTATTAAAAAAAACCTACAAATGCAAGACATTGTAGGAAAAATACTTAAATCACATCATTATCCATAGTTTTTTTCTCCTTTCTTCCCCATTTATTTATCTAGTTCTTACTTCCTCTCACATATATTTTTATGAACTTCCTCAAAACCTTTCTGGAAAGAAAGAGATCTGTTATCAATAAAAAGAACTATTAGTATCCTCCAGCCCAGGTGAGACTGCACACCATAAAGTATTTTTTTAAATAAGAGACAATAGCAGATCTGTCGCAGGGTCCAAGGGGATAGCCACTTCTCCAGTGAGAAACATGAACATAATTGCTTTCATTTCCCAGGAGCATAGTGTGGACGGGCGGAGGAAGAAAGCTGGGTGTGGATGCTTGTGCAAAGTGGGTGGGGAGAGAGGAGAGAAAGAACTTTCTAGGGGCAGAAACTCTATGGAGAAAGTCAGAGCCTCATTGTGATTGAGGCAGAGAGAGGGTGACAGATGAGTTCCAAGAACGAGGAGAGGGGGGCACCTCCACCATGAGGAGGCCTGGGGACAACTCGGAAGGAAAACAATGTCGGTGCTCAAACTCTCAATAAATGATACCAGGAGAGGTTGAAAAAAAGTCATTGAATTGTGTAATTAGAGCTGTTTAAAAGCACCTAAGAACCTATGTATGCACTTGTTATTGGGTGCCCAATTTTCCCTCTAATGTCCAGCTCAGAGTTCTCTCCAAAGCCACAGCCACTGGACAAGGGCAGACCCTGGCATCTTGGGGTCTTGCAGTGTGAGAACTTGACTCCCACCTACCCACTTCAGGGTTCTTCCACGCTCATAACTACACCACTTTGGATGTCAGAGCCAAGAAGCCTTTTCCCCTGGTTCAGGCAGGGAAGAGGGACCCTTTCAGGAATCCCCGAGGACAAACCAACCCAAATTGAGAAGAGCAGACATCCGAATGGTGACAACTCCATGTGTCAGGTAGAGATTTACATACATGGTTACAAAACTTCATCTCAACCTTACAAAGGAAGTCAACTTACCCAGCTTTACAATGAGAAATCTGAGGTCCAGAGACAGTAACATATCTCAGGTCACACAACTAGTAAGGGACAAAGCCAGGATTCAAACTCAGGTCTGCCTGACTTGGAATCCCACGTGCTTTGCACTACTTTAAGTAAACCATATAGTACGGCTCTATCTTGTAATCAGCAACTTAAGGTGTGCCTTTACAAAGATCAGGGAAGAGGGCAGGGAGGGAGGGCGGGGAGGAAGTTGCTCTGCAAGAAGACTTAAGACTCAGTACACACCCTCCACCCCTGAGCAGCCCACTCAGGCCACTGAGGCAGAAGGCTGCTTGGGTACCATGTGGAGGTGGCTTTAGGATGAGTTCTAGAGATACATGTTGATGGCTGAGCTCATTGAGTTAATTAATGAATTAATGAAAGACAAACAATAGGCAGAAGTTGGAAATACTGGATGATACTAGAGTACATCCAAGTACAAACCTCAGTGTTAGACTTGGGGCAAGTTATTTAAATTCTGTGAGCCTGTTTCCTCCTCTGCAAAAAGGGGATAATGGCATTCACCTCAGAGGATTTTAGTGATGGTTAAATGACTAATGCATACAAAGCGCTTAGCCCCAAAGTGCAGTGCCCAGCACATAGAGTGAATGCCCAACCATTTGTGCAATTCCAATCAGTATCATTACTACCACTATTACTATTATTACCACGAGGGACTGTAGCCTATTTGCATAAGGAACTCATGGAAACACTAGTGTGATTCCTTCCATTCCTATACCAGGCCCTCAGACTATCCTCTTGTGATTCATTTTTCTCCTTCAGGGTAACCTGAGGAATTTATTTTACCAGGAAGAAAATGTTGAAGGGAGATTTGCTTGAACCTCAGAATTCTGGTCATAAACCTGGACCTGTGGTCTCTCTCCCAGTCCCCAGACACACATACCCTGAGCTGCAGGGGGACACTTGGAGGGAGGGAATTCCCCCCCCCCCCGCGACCACCCACCGCATGGAGCCCTGTGGTTTGGCTGGTGTCCAGGGGGTGGAGCCAGAGAGTTGCTGGCCGCCTCCCTGATGAGGATTATCAGCTCGTCCAGGTGGGCGGGAGGCCCCGCTGACACCTGCACAGCTTTCTGTGTGTTTATTGGTTTTTAAAATTCTGTGCTCATAGAAGTGAACCAGAGTTCCCATGATTTCTGTCATCACAGAACAAGCCACAAAAATGAAATTTAAGAAAAATGGGGAAGAAAGGGATTTCTCACTTGAATTTTAGATTCCTCTGCTGTGGAGTGTTTGCCTCCTGACTTTTAAAGGCAGCAGAGTTTGTCCTGGGATTCTCACCTGGAAAGGGGGACAATTCCAGGGAAACATTTATATTTTTGTTTTCCTCCTCACTGGGGACAAGGGCAGGTTGGTTTCCAGAAAACAACTTGTGGACCCCGGCTCTCCTCCACGCTCGCACCACACTCTGCAAGGCTTTGCTGGATTCCTACACCTATGCAGAAGCCACGTCAAGTCTGAGAGAACATTCCACCCCAGGAGCCGATACTTAGCTCCAGAGTCTACTGTGTAGCAACGTGTCTCTCAGTTTTTAGTTTAAGAGACACTTGTTGATCCTTTTCAGTTACAAATCTTCCCCAGAATATCTCAGGGTAGAGGAAACAGCACCGGGAAGACAACAATGAGCTTGAGCAGGATTGCTGCTGGACAAAGACCTGGGAGCCCGCAGAAACGATGGCAGAGCTGCTGGCACCCAATCAAGAACAGAGACAGACAGACAGAAGGCACGGGACAGGGGGCCAGTTGCTCGGCAGTACTTTGGCCCTGGTGCCTGAAGTGGGAGGAGAAAAAAAGAAGCACAGATATGCAGAGTGGGTTCTGAGTATCAAAGTGCTGGGTGCCTCCCCCAGCACCCTCCTCCTAAGCACCTCCCTTTTAATAGAGCCCAGCAGGGCTTTATCAGCCAGTGCCTTCTGCCCAGGAAGCCAGCTGCAGTGTGAGTACTCTCATCTCTGTTCATTTCTAACTGTTCCTTGTCGGGGGGTTGTCTTCTTAGACCTCTCTAATTTTTGCTCTTTTTCGCTTTTCTTTTTTTAATGGAGAAATATGTTCAGATGATTGGAACTGAGTAAAAGCAGCAAAGACAGAGTTCTTGTATACTAGAAAGCCATTTACCCAAACCATGGGCTTCCTCCTGGATGCTTGCAAGCAGCGTCTTGGTTCATGGTTTCTACAGCAGGTGGATCAAACTACAGCATGATTTCTTCCACCGGAGTTCGTGTGGAAGAGGGTTTCAGCAAGGAGTCCACTTGAGGTGCTAAAGGACTCAACTCACCGACACTCTATAGGAGTTTCAGGCTGTGTTTTTGAAATAAGTAAAATTGGAGATGTATCAATCCGACTCAAAAACAAAAAGTGGGTACTGGGAATGGCCCTTTCCAACTATGGTTTTATGTGCTGTCGTGCTGGAGGGAGGGTGCTGGAACACCCATTGGGAGAACGAGTCAGTCCCACTACAGGCACAAATTTGGCAGCTTCTTTGCAGCTACCCTTTCTGATGTGGAATTCAGACCTCAAGGCTTCTAGGGGAGTGTGTTCTGAGGAGAGAAGTGTTTTAATCAGGAGACAGGATAGCTGACAGCATTTTCTTTGTTTCTGATTACAGCTTTAGAGAAACCTGAGCACCTCCCACCGCTTAGAATCAAAAACTACCTAAAATAAAGATTACTGTAAGTATCAGATAAATGTCAATGCTGAAAATTCTCTTATGTGTGATAGAGCATGAATCTTTATATGCTTTCTTCTATATCTCTATCCAAAACTTTGTATTATTTTTAAAAGTGATATTTGAGGCATAGAAAATTAACAACTTTCAGGGCTCTCTAATTGTACAAATTTCTAATGTATGTTGACAATAGAATGAGCTGTACTTCCTGTAATAAAACAAGGAATGTAGTTGAGCTGAAATCTTGATATTTCAGAATGATGAGTACTGCTTTGTTGCACTAGTGATCTGGGCTATGAAAAGTGCTTTCTAACTCCTGCTGTAAGCTCATCGGGTGCAGCTTCCAGAACATTCTTGGGATGTTACCTTCAGCACATATAGGCCTTGTTGTAGATATGTCAGCGATGCAGGAGAGTGAGGCTTACTTTGAGGCAGGTGAGATGTTTGTCAGAAGAGTCACTGCTTCGGGCAAGGGCATGGGGTGAAACCAGGCGTAGCAGAGCCCTTTGCTGCTGTTCAACACTCCTTCCCCAGGGTTATGTCAGGGAGGCCACGAAGACAGGCTGTGTCTACTGTGTCACTGAGCCCTAACGCCCCTTGCATCCCGGCATTCAGAAGCTGCTCCTTCACTGTGTGTTGACTTGAATAGAATCTTGGGGGCATCAATGTGTGTGGCTCCAGCCCGGAAGACAAAGAGCCACCAGAGCTTACCTATTCCATAAGGCTGACCCTGCTGAGTGAACGTGGATGGTCCCCACTCTGGACCCCAGTTTTCCCTTCTATAAAATGAAGCCTCAAATTATATGCTCTATCAACTTTTTCTCTCTCTCTCGGCTAAGAAAATATCGTTGTTGAGCTCAAGGATGTCATTCTCCAAGACGTGGTGATTTTGGTGGTGGGGAAATGTAAAAGGGGAATGTGACAGTCCTACCTGTCTCTTTCTCTCCTTTTTTTTTTTTTTTTTTTTTTTTTTTTTTTTTTTTTTTTTTTTTTTTTTTTTTGCAGTACGCAGGCCTCTCACTGTTGTGGCCTCTCCCATTGCGGAGCACAGGCTCCGGACGCGCAGGCTCAGCGGCCATGGCTCACGGGCCCAGCCGCTCCGCGGCATGTGGGATCTTCCCGGACCAGGGCACGAACCCGCATCCCCTGCATCGGCAGGCGGACTCTCAACCACTGTGCCACCAGCGAAGCCCTCTTTCTCTCCTTTTTATTTCATTCATTCTTTCTTTTTTTTAAAATTGTGTATGAGTGCCCTACAGTTGGGTTTCTGCATGTTGTTCTTTATCAAACAAAAATATACATAATGCAACCCCCTGGTCAGGTATTTGCCAGATTGTTTAACCATGGATAAACATACACATACACAGTTTTTTCCTAAGAAATGTCAGTAATATTTTCCACGGTTGTGGATTTTTCTGAGTCACTCTAGTAGAGTGTAAATTTTCAGATTTCAAACCAAGCCAGTAGAAGAAAGTAAAAATTAAATAAAAGAGGAAGAAAAAAAATAAAGAAATACCACACATACGACTTTCCTGGGACCTCTGAAGGAAGAATACTATCCTTGGATGTGATGGAAGTTTTTTTTTTAATAAAAAAAAAAAAAAAGGAAACAAAAAGTTGCCACACTTGTTGAATTCAACTAAGAATTGTTTCTTATAAACAAGGCGATGTCCAATTTTTAACAATTCCTATTCAGATACAAGGGGGGAAAAATGTCATTTAGCAGTTTCTTAGACTGGGCTTTTGCTATGCATACAAAGTGTGGCTAGCATCTTATCACAGAAAATAGAACCCATACTAGGCCTTCTCCTTCTCACATTTGTAAAGATCAAGGCTGAGGGAAATTTTGGCATTGGCTTTGACCCCCAAGATGGAGCCCTAACAGTTTGCCTGAAGTGTTTCAGAGCCTGAGCCCACCCCTCCTTCTGGAACAGGCTTCAGATCTGTCAGCTTCCTGATAGTGGAGAAACGCAGCAGAACAAAATCTATGCATAGGTCTCTGTGCAGGATGATTTGCCATATTTTCCTTTTGTTCTAAGTGAAGTAAAATGAACATTCAATGTCTGCAGTCAGCTCATGGTCTCTCTTTGCTGATGGAGCTCTTGTTTATGGAGAAGTTGGCCTTCTCTGTTAAGATCTCCTCTCCCCAGGAACTCCCTGGGAGAGCTCCTGTCTCTCTCTACCTTGCATTTCGCACCACAGCCAGGGCACGAATCCTGCTGATTCATCTATTTTTGCCCTTTGTCATGTATGGAAAGAAAGGAAGGATGAATGGACGGTCTTTGATTGGCGCCGCTGGTGACGCCCCTCCTGGTCCTCTTTGGAGGGACCCTTTTGGAAAAAAAGCTGGTGAGGCAGCACGCAGAGGCTTCCTCTGGCTAAGCTTGGCCCTGGCCCATGGGCCACCAGAACAGGTATGCTACCTTTGTGCAGCTTCTCTCTGTGACTCTGCTGTGTCTTTTCTGAACAGAGCCTGGGAAGTGGGTCCTCATGCTCTGCTGAGCAGTGCAGCTTGGGCTGAGCCAGATGCACAGGGGTCTTGGTCAAGAAAGTCACAAGACACTCCTTTGGGGTTGGATGCTGGACCTTTGTGCTGCAGAGTTTTGACAACCTTGGAAAAGCGAGGAAAAAGTAGTCTGGGATTTTTAACTTATGCTCCTCCTATTTTATAGAGTTTTTTCCTTTTATTTTCTGGTCCTGTCTTTTTAGTTGAAATTTAATGACCTACTTAGATTTGAGAAGCTTGAGCATCAGTTTAAGTTCCTGCTTTATCACCTTGCATTGCCTTTCCAATTAGGATGTGTGGATTCTTAAAGTTCCCTAAAGAAATGCAAACAGTCTAGCATGATAAAATTCTAGGGTGAACCACAACCTTTAAGTTACTGGTTTCTCATAACCAATTCTCATGCCTAAGTTCTGGAGCAAGTAGTCAGGGTTCCCAGGGCTCCAGAGTATTCAGGATTTCAGAATAAATGGTTCCTGGGGGGTTCGTCCACAGCAGCAACTGTCTGCTCAACTCATGAGAAGACCCCTCTCTCTAGGACATGGCAACCACACAACCTACCCCAATATGTGGATACTGGAAAGACAAAGCGCAGCAAGCCTTCTATACGTTGGGCTGTGGATTCAGATAAATGATTCAATCTTTATCCAACTTCGGGTGGCTAGGCAGGGAACTCTGGCCAGTCAGGTTCTCAGTCATGTCTAGCCAGTTAGAGTATCAGGTTTCATATTTGTTATCTCTAAAATCTCTGAGGTGATGATGTATTTAAAACCCTCTAAAATAAATAAATAAATGCTGGAAATTTTGAGAACATGAATTTGTTCACCCTGGAATAACCCATATACCTGTTTCTGTACTTGATGGAAAATGTCTACTTTAATGTTTTCATTCGGTGCTGCCTCTGTAGGGCCAGATCTACTCAGTCACAGCAACTCAAGGCAATTTCTTGTCATTGCCTGGACTGGAGCCTGATGCCTCTCATAAGATGCATGGCTTTGAGAATGGGGTCACTGTAGCTGAGGAAAGGGCCTTCCAAGCAATATTTTCAGTTATGATGTTTAAAGAGGGAGATAAATAAAAATAAATGATAGTCATCACTTAGATTATGAAATAAAATCCAATTTTTCACAATTGCTTAATAATTCAAACAGTTTTCCTTGTTTAACTTTGGGGCCAGCTGAGTTCCATATAGACTTAGTTTTGGTTCCTGACCTCCAGCAGTTTTCAGTTTAAGAATTTCTTAATGCAAATGTTCATTGGAAGTCTCACAAATGCTGGTTTCTATCACTATTTTGCCAAGACAAAGTGACCCTGGTCTAGAATGCATTGCATGAACAGCTTCTACTTTCTGGAATGGTTGGCCATTGTTCAAAAGCAGAATGGTTAGTTGGGCAATGAAATAATACAATTGAAGTGAAATTGTGACTCAATAAAAAATGTTACATTGATTTCTGTACTGGGATTAATAGAAGCCAAAACTAAAATCTGGATTGGAAAAAATAAAAATTTAGAAAGCCATAACTTTTATTATCTGTTAATAGCCATTTGTTGGCTATGGTAAATGGAACAACGATAGGACCAAAAATAGCCACGAGAACCCCTTATTCACAGCCTGGCCACAGAGAGAAGACGAGCTGGTTTAACTGCACGAGTTTGGGGTATTTCCTTGGTCATGTCTTACGTGCCTGTGGCTTCCACATTCCACACTTGTGCCTTCTGGGGTCTGATGGTTTTGGCGTTCCCCTGCTTCACACTGGCCTGGCTGTGCTCCTTGCTTCCTTGCAAACTCAAGGTAGTTTTGCCATTGTCTTTCTCCCTTTGCCTGTTTCTGGGACGACATCATTGGTATTCTTTTATATCTACCATCGGCACCATAAAACCATTTTTGTCTACAGGGTACCATATTTCTGTTGATGCTGGTGCTTAGTCCTATTAACAATTATCATGAGAAGTGAAGAGTCTCACAGTGAGCACCAGTCACGGTTATACTGTTAGTATTTCCCCGAGGCATGCTTACTGTAAGTATGCCCTGTACATTCTTATAGCATACAATTCTTTTTTTTTTTTTTTTTTTTGCGGTACGCGGGCCTCTCACTGTTGTGGCCTTTCCCGTTGTGGAGCACAGGCTCCGGACGCACAGGCTCAGCGGCCGTAGCTCACGGGCCCAGACGCTCTGTGGCATGTGGGATCTTCCCGGACCGGGGCATGAACCCGTGTGCCCTGCATCAGCAGGTGGACTCTCAACCACTGCACCACCAGGGAAGCCCCATAGCATACAATTCTTAAATTGTAATTCTTTGGTTTTCAACAGCTTGGTCCGCCTCCACCTTTCCCATTTTCGACACCTTTGTGGAATATTATTTTTCCAGTCTTTAAACATTTAAATAACAAATTCCAAAAATAAAGAATATCTGAGGCAGTTGCCTGATGTGACGACATAGTCAAGCAATCTTTGACTTGGAGAGTGAGTAAGAGGCGGTTTTCTTAGGCTGTGTTAACACACACACACTGTTTTGTAAACATTTCTTCTCTTTCAAACTTTTAAAAACAAAACTCTTTTTTGTAAAATAAAAATTTAATTTAAAATGGCTGCTTGTCTTGGAAAGTAGCTGATTGGTCTGTAACCTGACATCTGGCTCCTTTCATTGGCAGCAAGAAGCTTAAGTACTTATCTTAGCTACTTCTATATCATTATCTGACCCCTTACATTGAAATTAACTATTTTTCAGTCTTTCCCACTAGACTGAGCTCTTTGAGTGTAGGATATAGGTGCTCAATAAATATTTGTTGAGCTAGAAACTGAACCTTATGAAATTAAAGACCACAACCTTTTTTCGTGGTGGCATTGAAAACAGTGATGACAAAAGTAGTATGGGGTTTGGGTCTTGGTAATAATCTCCGTGACAACATTTCAAGAGGAAAATGGTGTTTTCTTAGTTCCATGGGATGTCATGGTCCAGAGGAAGTGCCTTTAAACTCATCCCCTGTGGCTACTGTGACCAGGTCCCACACTGGCCAGTCCGAAGTGTTCTGCACAGGATGTTTATGAGCTCTGTTCTTTCCTTAAGGAGCCAGAGGAAGAGCTATCCATGGAGGACAGCCCCACTGTGGTTAAACTGGACCAGGGTGGAAATCAGGGTCCACCAGTTCGCAAGAGAAGATGCCTCCCCAAGGCACTTGGCTACATAACTGGTGATATGAAAGAATTAGCCAACTGGCTTAAAGGTATTTACGCTTCCACCCCTTGGAGCAGTGGCTTTGGGGGAAATGGTTTGCTGGTTCTTCTAGTCATATCTTTAGTTATACTCCCTTACCTTCTATCTATCTCTTTCCTCTCCCTTTTTTTAACTTTTTATCTTATAACCAGCAAACTTCTTCAAATTTTTTTTAATGGAGATAGTGGTCAGGGCCGCAGTCCAGTTGATATCAGAGGAAGGCACCTGGTTCCTCCTTATAATTTCGGTACTTAAAAAGTGAAATTTTACTATTGGTAATTCATTCCTTTGGTGTATGAATCTGAACCTCTAAGCATAGTAAATAAGTTCATTCGATGCTTTCTGGAACTGAGATTCTAGTAGGGGCAGTTGGATTGAGAGGAAAGAAACTGGTTGCTTTCAGAGATCTGAAGGTCACTAAGGGGAAAGGGTTCAGAGAAAAAGCTTCAAGGAATATCAAAAATTAGCTTCACCTTCATGAGAGGGGATTTTGCTCAGGGTGGGCCCTGGACTTGGGAAGGAGCCCCATTTGCCTCGCTGTTTCCTTAGCTCTGCCCATCTCATCTCTTCCAGACAAACCCCAGGCGCTCCAGTTCGTCGACTGGGTCCTTCGGGGCATATCCCAAGTGGTGTTTGTCAGCAACCCCATCAGCGGAATCCTGATTCTGGCGGGACTCCTGGTCCAGAACCCCTGGTGGGCGCTCAGTGGCTGTGTGGCAACTGTGGTCTCCACCCTGACAGCCCTGTTACTCAGTCAGGACAGGTAGGCGCGTCCCTCCAAGCCTCCGCTTCTTGCTTCTTAGAACACAGGAGCCAACCAGTTACTCTGGGCAACAGTGATAAAGCCCCACCCTCCCCAGGAGAAACAACCTTTATTGCACAGAATGCTTTATATGTGCCTTTAGTCAGAGGTCAGGAAATCATTTATATCCTCTTATTCGTGGTACCTGAATAAGCGGCCAGTCTGAATGATGCCAGATGCTCCTGGCACTACACAGTAACCAGAACAAAGCTATAAGTAATTCCCAGGGTAGGGTCCAAAGGGATCTGCTTTAATGATTGATCAATTATTTATCATCAGCATTTTGTTTATTTACAAAAAATGAATATGGGTTCAGGAAAAGTTTTAGTGGCTTAAAAATCCCACTAATCCCATTATATCTTATTTCCATGCTTAGCTTAGTAAATTCATTCTTCATGGACAGTGCAAAGATTAGCTCAGCTTCCAGAGAGACAAACTGACATAAATTCCAAGTAAGCAAGTTCTGACTTACGTAATGTTAGTGTGTCTTCTGAACTATGTGTTAGGCTAAACATAGCGTGTACTTTATAAACCATCCGCCACTGAAGAATTGATGAGCTGACTCCTACCATGGGAGGAGACGGCTCCTGCCTGACCAGTTCCTTCAGGGAGGCTGCTGGTCTTCTAGGTGGCCAGGATCCATGCATCATCCCCAGTGGATGGTCATTATACAGCTAAGCTCCTGTAACACTTACTGTAAACTGCCTAAGGGGCTTCTTGGGGAGAGAGTCCGAAAATGCTCCACTTTCCCGTCAGGTCCAAGGAGCCTGACTTGTTCTCTATGGAGGGTGATTTTGTATCTTAGGTCAAATTCTGTTCTAATGCACATCAAGAAACAGTCTGTCCAGTTTGGAGGTGTGGTCCAGGATTGTATCATATAAAATCTTCTTCATTGTTTTGCCCCAGTAGAAGTTGACCCATTGTCCTTATCAAGTATGGTTTAAGACAGGGGTCCCCAACACCCCCTGTTAGGAACTGGACCACACAGCAGGAGGTGAGTGGCGGGCTAGCAACCAAAGCTTCGTCTGCCACTCCCCATTGCCTGAACCATTCCCCCCCACAACCCAGTCCGTGGAAAAAGTGCCTTCCATGAAACCAGTCCCTGGTGCCAAAAACGTTGGGGATCAATGGTTTAAAAGACCAGCCATATTTACATGGGTTAGTTCTCAGATCTCTTTTACTCTCTTCGATCCTAAAGGGCACATGAAAAAGGTAATTCTGCTTTAAGTAAATACACATCTTCCTGTTGATGAAACTGTGGCATTCCACAACATGTAGGCATTGCAGTTAATTTTTTGTTGATCAAACTCAAGCCTTCAATCCGAAAGTCAGTTGCTGAGAGGACAAGCCTTGCATAGCTCCCCACTGCCCTCAGGTATGGCCTCAATTATCATTTCCTGGGTTAAACCAATACAAGTTGCATCACCTGCCACATATCCTGAAGGATTATTTAAGGGAGACAAAGGGCTTTTGAGCATGGAGTCTCACCTCTAATACTCTTGCCCAGATGAATATCACCCTGCGGTTGAACTGGTGCCTCCTGCTCCAGTGACAAACAGGCGGGGAGAAGCTTTCACGCCATCCTGTACTGCCCTGTAGCGTGGCTCATTGCTACATCACCTCCCCCTCAGGCCCTGTGTTCAACCTCGCCCACCCACTTCACCATCTGCAAACCCATGACTCCTACAGACTTCATCCTTGAATGCTGGGTACCTTCAAGGTGCCAATTCTCAGAGCCCTGGGGGGCCTGGCTTGTCAGCCCCGGGGCTTATTCTATAGAAATCATTCCATTTCCCACTTGGAGCTTCTTGTCCCCAAATATGAAATGGGAACCATTTTGGCCAGGAGTAGAAACTTACCCAGGACAACATTTAGAAGTGAGGTTAAATGCTGGGAAGCAAAAAGGACCCAAGAAATAATTAGGTGCTAAATATGCACATAATTAAATGGAGTAATTTGCCAAGTAAAAGTAATTGTTTTTCTTTGCAATAACTTGGAAATGTATATCTGGAGACAACAAAATGGAAGCACAGGAAGATGAAAATATATGCTAAGTTGGAAGATCTGTGTTTATAAGATCAAAGACACCATGGAAGTAAATTTACATTTTAAGAATCTTACATCTCTCACCAAGAAAATCAGACTTAGGAAACAGTTTCACATCAAAGCTCTATTCAAGTCAGAGGTCCTAATGACTTAAAAGAAATAATAACTTTTGGAACAAAAGGGTAAAAGGAAGCAGAATAGGTTGGATTGCTGATTTCCCTTTCCTCCCCTAGATGCTGGAATTCTATCTTTAGCTATGACACCTCTATAGGGGTTGTTCTATGTACACATTTGCATTTTATCCATGTATGTTTTACTTTTTCAAGCTTTTATTAGTATTTGGCTTCTACAGACTTTGCAATAAAATCCTAAATATAATCTCATTTTCAAATGTAAATATTATCTGGAAGTTACAAGTGTCATTTATGTGCACGTCCAGCCAACATCCTCCTGGAAGCTGTCCAAGCTGTGCCTTTTGCCCACAGGTCCGCCATTGCAGCAGGGCTCCAGGGCTACAATGCCACCCTGGTGGGAATCCTCATGGCTGTCTTTTCAGACAAGGGAAACTATTTCTGGTGGCTATTATTCCCTGTATCTGCTATGTCCATGACTTGGTAAGTTGTACCTGGTTTTCGAAATGCCTTTTTGAAAAATGTATAGGGGGAGAAGGCAATGGGGGAAGTTATTATTTAGGGAGTATAGAGTTTCTGTTTTGGAAAATGAAAAATGTTTTGTGAATGGATGGCGGTAATAGTTGTATAACAATGTGAATGTACTTAATGCCGCTAAACTGAATGCTTTAAAATGGTTTAAATGGTAAATTTTATGTTATGTATATAACACAATCTTTAGAAAAATATATTTTTAAATTTAGATTCAGGATATGTCTATTGGAAACATTCAAACACACCGATGCGTGTGGCCTCCACACACACCTCACAGCCACCCCCCCCCAACAAGATTCTGATGTAATTGGTCTGGGGTATTTCCAGGGCATTGGGAGTTTGAAGGCTCCCAGGAGGTTCTAAAGTACAACCAAAGTTGAGAGCCACTCCCCACATCAGTGGTCCTCAAACATGCACACTATCGGCCTCACCTGCAAGGCCTGTTAAAACACGGACTGCTGCTCCCTCCCCCAGGCTTCCTGATTCAGTCCATCTGGGGCAGGGCCTCAGAATCTGCATCTCTAACAACTTCCCAGATGATGCTGTTGTGGCTGATCCAGGGACTTCACTGAGAACCCCTGTGCCTGTCCCCTTCAAAATAATTCTTTACTGAATTCGATTCCTTTTTTAACCCTAAATCCTTCAAACTAGTTTCTATGTTGACACTGTCTTAAATCCTTTTTTTCTTTTTCAAAAACAAACATTTCCTTCTTACCATGGTATATTCAGAATATAAAATATTAGTATCCACACAAATGATACGTGTAGCCCACTATGGACAGCGTGCCCACCCTGGCTGCAGCACAGATGTGTGGAGGAGAACCTGGCGGCACGGCCAACCTGCTCAGGAGGGACTTCCCACCTATTCTGAAGATAAGGCTCAAGGGCAAGAGGCATCACCTGCACATGGTCACTCGCCCTCTCCCCCAATTCGGGAAACCTGGGATTCTGACCTTAAAGTGATGGCTCCTTGATTGGATCAACAAGTGAGGGAACAAAATGGGCCCAGAGACCATATAATCCAATCTCCCAGTTTACAGATGAGGGAACTGAAAGTACCTCCCTGCCCTCAGCCACACAGTTCAACTGCTCAAGGACTTAAAACTCTGCCCTCCTGAGTTTAAGATCTCTTTCCTCCAGTCCACACCACCTGCATCCTTCCTGGGACCATTGTTTTTCTTTTTCAAGACTAAATATACTAAGACTCGTGGAGATGGTATACAAGTTCAAGATCAAGTTTGCCTCTGGTGGGGAGGGAGGTGCATATGATCAAGTAGGTTACAGAAGGGGCTTTAACTGTTTAGACAATATTCTTTTCAGATGTCTTAAATACTTCAAAAATATTTTTAAAACCTAGATTTATAACTCACTGTGAGCAAACCCAGAGCATAATTTTCCGCAAGCCAAATAAGCTGAGAGTTTATTTTTGACTGTATGTAAGAATTATTCTATGACAGGATTTATTCCAGGTGTGTTTGGGTTTGAGTTTGTTTTTATTTTTGTTTTTTTTTTTTTCTGTGAAAAGTTTGGCAACACTCTTTAGGGACAAATTTGCCAATGAAACAAAGCCCCTCCATAGTATAGAGATTGTTTGTCAACCTGGCTTCCATTCCAGGGCATTGGGAGTTTGTAAGGTTTCACATGCATATTCTTCCATTCTGTTCTGTTGTTGTTTTTAGTCCAGTTTTCTCAAGTGCGTTGAACTCCGTGTTCTGCAAATGGGACCTCCCTGTCTTCACTCTGCCCTTCAACATGGCGTTGTCAATGTACCTTTCTGCCACGGGACATTACAATCCATTTTTCCCAAGCAAATTGTTCACACCTGTAACCTCAGTTCCCAATGTCACCTGGTCTGACCTCAGTGCCCTGCAGGTAAGATACACTATCTTCTTACACCCCCACCCTCCAACCCCTCGCCCCAACCCCACCCCCGCCACTGGCTCTGGAAGATACCCCGTGTCCTCCTGGTTAATTATTCATGGGCATCAGAAGTTTATAGAGACTCAGCACTGGGGGGACCTTGCCACCTTCCTCTTTTTTTTTAAGAATTTTTTTTAAAATACGTATTTGGCCGCGCCAGGTCTTAGTTGCCGCACGCGGGATCTTCGTTGCCGCATGCGGCGTCTAGTTCCCTTACCAGGGATCAAACCCAGGCCGCCTGCACTGCGAGAGCAGAGTCTTAACCACTGGACCACCAGGAAGTCCTTTAACGCCTTCCTCTTGCCGTCTAAATGCTTATTTGTTCTACTCCAAAGCTTTGGGCTCTAAGGGGTTTTTTAAATGACTATTTGGTCAAAGCTAATTTTTCTTCCTCTTTTCCTAAAATGTGCAGTGCTAACTCCAGAATATATCTCCACTGAAATTTAGACACTCTATTTCAAACTTGGCCCTTATTTGTGGGGTATGATGGAGGCCAGCCCTTGAGGCAGGGGCCTCCAGCCTGGTGTTAAGTTGTCCCTGACCTACCTCCTCCAATCAAAAGAACTGGCTGCTTACTGTTAGATCCTGTTGCAGAAGCTCTCTATTCTGCTTTTTCTTATGGTGGATCTCATAGAATACGTACAGTAATTCAGATTTCTCAGGCTTTGGAGGCATAAGAATCACTGTTTTTTAAATACTAGTACAAGCTCCATCTCGACTCCCTAAATCATAATCATCAGGGTGGAGCCTAGGAGCCTGTATTAACAAGCTCCCCAAATAATAGTGACGTGGGCCAGAGTTTGAGAACCACTATCCTAGGATGTATGCTGTGTATTTCATCACAGTTGTGCATAGAGAGAGCACTATTTTTAAAAGCCTGGTTAACCCAAATCAAATTCCAGCTCTTTGTATTAGTGTTTATTTAATAAATCTGTTTAAGGTTTCTTGATTATTTAAAAAAAGAAAAAGAAAACACTTGAAATCAGAAGAAAACCAACCTTACCTTTTTTAGGGTGCAAGAGACTGATTTTTCCGCTATCAGGTTATAAAATACCTTTTGCTGTCCTCTTTGCTGAGCAGTCAAAACATGTGAGGAGTTCAAGTAGCCTTTTCTTTAGCTTCTTGCCCAGAAAATGAATGGGAGCATTTGGAAATAACTCAGAAGGAAAATTAAAAATTTATCAGAACTGCCCATGAAAAAATAGCATTAGTTTAACTATCTAAAACTGCACTATCTAATACAGTAGCTATTTTAATTTAAATGTAAAGTTAATTAACATTAGATAAAAGTTAAAATTTAGTTCTTTAGCCTCACTAGCCACATTTCAGGTGCTCAATAACTGCACGTATTGGACAGCACAGATACAGAATATTCCATCACCACAGAAAGTGCTAGTGGACAGTGCTGACATGGGGAAGGGGTGTCTTGTCCTTCTCCTCACTCTGAACTACCTCTCCAACATCAGCATACTTATTTCCCATCTCATCAAATCCCCATTTCCCTGGGGAGGGATACCTGAGGGATAGTTCTGCTGTCCAGTTCTGTGATAAAAGACCACACAGTCTGCCTGTGTCAAGTTCCCTGGTCTAGAAGAAACAGGAAATGATCCTGTGTAGATGTGAAGATCCAGCATGGGCTGGAAGAAGTTATGCCCATCTTAGGTTAGAATCAAACTCACAGTATGATCCTGTGCCCTGGGCAAGGACCAGACTAGCATCAGAAACCAGCATTGGATCCAGCCTAATTCATGGAAGAAGCGGACACTTCCTTGTGCCGAAGCTGGCCTCCCTGCATCAGAGTCACTGCCTCCCAAAGGTCCTTGCCAAAAGGTGGAAGGAGTGAGGTGGGAGGTAGGGAGATCCCCTTTCAGTGATAGCCTTGGTCAAAACAGAACCAACACAATTAATTATGCCTATCCTAGCCCTACCAGAAGTGTTGTTATAAGGAATTATCATTTGTTAGCTTGAATCAAACCCTGTACCTTGTTCCTAGGAACTGCCACTCCGTGAACACATTACCTGAGTTCAGAACTCAGCCAGAAAGCTAGAATTGTGATATTTACATGGATTTTTGTGTTCTGAGGACTGGCAGTTGTTGATAACTGGAATAAGCTAAGGATATCTTGGTTTAAATTAATACAAGCTCTCTAAAAATGAAAAATAAAAAGAATTTTTAATTTAAAAAAATTTTAATAAAAACTAATAAAAACATAAAAAGTAAATAAATAAATATAAATTTTAAAAAACAAAAAATAAAGTAAAATTAATTAACTAACACATGTTCTCATTAACAACAGAAGTGTAAATATGGTCCTGACTCATGAACCTGCCAATAATTGCTTCGGAGTTGTGGATAAGATAACCCGACTTTGGGTCTCTGGCCTTAGCACTAATAACTAAATTACATGGGAGTAATAATACTTCTACTGACCATAGAGATGCATTGATTTATTGGCCTCAGAACTGATGGAGAGTTGAAAGCAATAGAAATGTGAGCTGTGGTCCCTGCCATCCTCACTGGGAGGCATGGCCGATCCTCACAGGATCAGTGAGGAGCAGTGACACAGCACTGGGGGCTTATCAGTGACCAAAGCCAGGTGACAGTGCAAGCAGTAGAGCCAGTGAGTGAAGGGTCTGGGAAAGGCATGCTCAGCACGCAGCAGGGAAGGGCTGTTGTATCTCTGGGGATAAAGCAGAAGAATGACTGAGATTTTTCCATAGAGAGAGAGAATTTTAAAAATTAGTAGCACTGATCTTGAAAGATAAGATACGCTAAATCTAAAATGACATCGCATTGTGTTTGTGGGTGCCCTATGAGTTTCTGTACAGTAGTTTTAATGACCGCATTTTCTAAATTGTTTCTGCAGTTACTGAAGTCCCTGCCTGTGGGTGTTGGTCAGATATATGGCTGTGATAATCCGTGGACAGGGGGCATCTTCCTAGGCGCCATCTTCCTCTCCTCCCCACTCATGTGCCTACATGCTGCGATCGGGTCGTTGCTGGGGATGGCAGCAGGTGAGTGTAAGACTTGTTACCAGATACTGAGCGCCTCCTCTGCTCCATCCATTGTCTCAGGCATCTTCTATACCCCAGACCTTTCTTGAAGGTCTGCTTCCAAGGGACCAGTGGGAGTTCTCGGATGACTTCCCCACCCCAAGACTCCTTCCAGAGCATCCTGCATTTAGTCCGAAGTTCTGACTCCTCCTGTCTTGCCTAATAGGACTCAGTCTTTCAGCTCCATTTGAGAACATCTACGTTGGACTCTGGGGTTTCAACAGCTCTCTAACCTGCATTGCAATTGGAGGAATGTTCATGGCGCTCACCTGGCAAACCCACCTCCTGGCTCTTGCCTGCGGTGAGTATCCTGTGCATCTGGGGCATGGTTGCTTATGATTATGGGATCAACATCAAGGACAAACAGTCAGAAAGGACTGTGTGAGAAACTAGAGCAGGAGTTCTAGTTTGAGCCCCCTGCTATCTGCTGAGGATGGGACCAGGGCAACTGGCCTCCCCTCTCTGGGAGGGTTTGGGTCTGCTCTGTCTACCTCATTACTCATTTTGAAGATGAGAGAACCATTTTACAATATGTGTATGTTGAGGGATAGAAACTTGACTTGTCCTATGTTCTTCATACTAATTGTTTGACCCAAGAAACTAAAAGGAAACAAGCTAAGTATAGAGTCGGTTCTCCTGGTGAATCAGGTGGTATTAAAGGGCCCTTAGAGAATCACCTTAATCCAGCTGTTCTCAAAAATGGAGCAAACATCAGAATCAACTGGAAGCCTTGTTAAAACCCAGATTGCTGGGTCTCACCCCCAGTCCCTGACTCATTGTTAGAGGTAGGGGGAGGAGTTTGCATTTTTAACAAGGTGCCAGGTGGTGCTGATGCTGTAGCTCTGGGGACCACATTTTGAGAACTGCTGTATTAATCCTTTCTAACCTCTGTTTTCTAGCCAGACTCAGCCTATGGGAGCTAGAAAGGGTTCTGGAGATCTCCACTCCATCCTTCTCATTTTACTGTTGGGGTTCTACATAAGGGCAGAGAGAGAAAGTGACACACGGAAAGGCATCCATTAGGGGTAAATATAAGTCCAGAATCCACATTTGCTAACAACTTCCAGAGTTACGCCCACTACACTACTCTCCTTCCCTTTAGTACCATTCAGGCACTTAGGTGAAAACAGACCTCAAGTGCTTTGGATATGAAAAGCTACCATGGATTTCTCTGGCCATTGGAAGGGGAGCTTATTCACTTATAGCTTCTGGCATCCCTAATTCAACACAAATAAAAGTGTGTAAGATAATGTGCTAGAATGAAGGAAATGACACTTCCTTGGGGACAAAGGGGTGGAGGGATATTGGAACATGCAGAAACTTTTGTAATCTCATGGAAACATTTGTCTAGAGTCATTTTATCACCAGATTAATCAATCCAGCCATTATTAAAGTGGTGGGCTACATGTCAGGCAGGATTTAGAGTGAGTTCCTGCATTGGGCAGGACATGGGATGGAACCAAAGATTTCTAAGGCCTAATCCAATTTTGATTGTCTGATGCTCTAGGAAGATTAACAAAACTCAGGTTGCTGTGGTGTTGCCATTCACATGTCATTTTGTCAATTTCTTTATAGTTACATAACTATTTCATCTAATAGTCCTGTCAAAATTTTTGCTCATTTTTCCATACTTGTTTAAAGCTTAGGGCAAAGGAGAAGGGTAGAAACAGATTATGTGGCCTCCTGAGCTCACCTGGGTTAGACTTTTTATTCTGAGGTTGGTTTGAGGTTTCAAACCTTTATTTTTTCTGTATTGGCAGTAGCAGCAAATATGTATTAAACACTCATGGTACAACCCAGACAGTACTAGGAAGAGCTAGAGGTTCAGAAGCTTTAGATCCCAGATGGTTTTCTGTACAGAAAACAGAAGCCAGGTGAGTAAGAGAGAGAAGCCCACAGAGACCACAAGATGCAGAGCTAGGAAACACCTACAGTGCAGAGTGAGTCCCTGGGGGAACATTATAGCTCAGAATCACCAAAAAGCACCTCCTAGAAAGGGTGGCTTTTCTGTAAGTCCTAAAAAGTAAGAGGAGGAATTCCAGTTGGTAGAAAGCATGGTCTGGGCCAGCATAGGGACAGTCTGAGCACATCCTTAAAGATAAGCAGAAACTGTCTTGGTCACGGGTGTTGTTGATAAGGTCTGTGAAGGTCTCTTCACAGACTATGGGAAAGGAAAAGCCCAAGATGTTTACAGATGTGTGTTTCCCAAAGCTGTGATATCATCATCATTTTCTTTATATACTTCTATAGTTGTACAGGCCTATTCTACCAAACAAAACAAACAAAAATTCAATCAATACAGACGAGTATAAAGCAGAGAATGGACACTCCATCCTACTCCCTAGACAGAACTTTCTTGCCTCCTTCTTATAAGGACCCTGTGATCACATTGGGTCAACCTGGCTAATCCAGGATAAACCTCCACCTCAAGATCTTTAACTTAATCACAACTGCCAAGTCTCTTTTGCCATGTAAGATAACATATTCACAAGTTCTGGGAATCAGGACATGGATGTCTTTGGGGGCCTTTATTCTGCCTATCACATCTCCCTTCCTTTGGATAGATCAGATTTTCATTATTAGTAGAGCATACTGGTTAAGTCAGTATATTGAATTAGTTAAGAGCCCAGACCCTCCCTGGTGCCCAAATCCCAGCTCTGCCTATTTTAATTTCAATAGATGCCAAATGCACCCCACAAAGGCTGTACCAATTTCCCCTGCCACTGACAGTATATGAGAGTGCCTGTTTCATCCACACTGGGCACTGTCTTTTTCATCTTTGGACATAAAGTTTTGAGACAGACCTCTAGTCCCTCTTAAAAAGCAAATCTCACTGTAAAATCGCACAGCAAGTTTATGCTTGCCCATATCACCCCGATACTGCCAAACAAAAGATAAACCTTGTCAGCCAAGGTAAATAAATAGCAGGCATTTATCACAGAGGTGCTCTTTTATTAGCTCCTATGGCTTTATCGGAAAGAGGACTTCGGAGTCACCGATAAAGCCTGGTAAAGCTGCCTTCCCTGTGTCCCTAAGCCAGAAACTGCATGGCCAGGGAACTCCTCAATTTTGTTATTTTATCAGTGCAAACTGTAAACACATTTTGTATCTCTTCTTACAGGTTGGGTTATCATAGTAGGACTCACACATGGTGGTCTGTGGGGAGGGACGTTGTCTATGAAGAACTAGGATCCAGTCCTCCCTTCCACACTCAAGGGCCTTTTCTCTCCCTCAGCTACTCAGAACGCTGTCAGGGTCATCACCTCCAAACCATGGTGTACAGAGCTTCACCTCTAATATAAGGCTTTCCCAGCCCAACCCAGCTAGTCTTAAGTAATGGGCAGCAACTTTTAGACAATCTGATACTCTTCCTATAGAAAGAAAAGCAACAGGGAATTGAAAGAGCATTACAATATGAGACTCGAGCACCAAAAGTACGTTAATAGGTATTAAGCTATTGCACTTCTAGGAGAGAAATAAGGTCTCACGTGCTCAAGGGAGTGTCATAGAAAAGCTGGTACTCAGGAGAGAAGGGACAGAGTGTCCCCTCTACTTAGCCAATGGCCAGTGAATATTTCTTGAATGAGTGAATGAATGAATGAACTAAATGGGGGGAAAAGAGAAAATCTTCTAACCCTTCTCCTCAGAACAGTACTTCCAACCCATGGTGACAGAGATGAGTTATAGCTGCTGTTTGTGAAAATACATGATTTCATTTGAGATTCACTAGCTCCCTGTAAAAAACCTCTTCAAGTTGCCTTTTTACAGACGATGAAACTAGATTCCTAGTTCAGTGATTTGTTGCACAGCAAACAAAATTGCAGAACTGGGATTTGAAGCCCAGATCATTTCCAAAGATGAGCCTTTCCCATTAGCATGAGACAATTCAGATGTGAAAGAATTAGGTATACTGTTGAACAAAAACTATCAGGATAAAAATATAAAATATTGATAAAAGGATGGAAGTCTATAGTAAAGTAAAGGAGGATCATAAGGTCCCTCCCACCACCGCTGCCCAGCTCCCCAGAGTAGCAGATGTGATTTCTCGATGGACTTGAGGATCAGATGGTGAGCGTGTCTAACACTGAGTGCTGCTGGCCCAAGTGACCATGTGGCCATCATAAGAAGGTTATTCTTCAGGCCGCCTCTGTGAAACCTAAGGGCTTCCGCGAGCCCCCTTGGGGCCAGGAATTGAGTTAGCTAGTTGAGATCTTTGATTTTGTTGTTCTACGTTGAAAGTCATACATATAACTCAAATTACCTACTCTAATTTGTGCTCAAAGTAAATAAAAACAGGATGTTAATTAATTCATTGACCTGTATGCCAACCTTAATGGTATTTGAGAAGATGTTATTATGGGGAGGAATCCCAGGTCTGTGTTCAGTTTCTGCCAATTTCTGAGTTACTACATATATATATATATATATATACACTATGATTTTTGGAACTGTGAATTCTAACCATTGATCTGAGAATCCCAGATGCCATGAGATTGTATGCTGTCTCAAGGAACATAAGTTTAATTTTAATTATTATGCTTGGATAAAATAATGGGGAAGTTTATTTACCATGGAAGACCTTTTCCTTAAGTGTTATCAATAATAGCAACAAAATAGTACCACAGAAAAGCTACCTTTATTGAGTACTTACTGTGTGCTAAGCCCAAGCATTATCTTCTTCACACTCACACCAACCCGTGAGAGAGAGATTCCTATTACCTCCTTGTACAGGTGAGGAAATGGGACTTCAAGAGGCGGCACCAAGCTCCTACAGGGTGGAGTCTGGATTTGAACCCAGAGCCGCTGACTCTAAGCTCATACTTGTAACCAGGATGCTGGGCTCGCTGGTGAAACGCACAAGTTTACATTCCAGGGATTTATACCTAAAGGCAGTCTTTCCTGTAATGAAAAGTGCACCTACCAAGCATTCTTCTTTCCTTTTTTTGTTTTTTTTGTAGCCCTGTTCACTGCCTACGTTGGAGCCAGCATGTCCAACCTGATGGCTGTGGTGAGTTTGCTTTAATCTCATTTTCTCATCAGTGTGATCGATCAGTTTTCAACGATATGGAAGCCCTCCTGAAGTCCACTTTCGTGGCATCCCGGGTCAGGATCCATGACAGATAGCCACTACTTTCCATCTGCCAGACCCACCTGTCCTCACTTACCCTCCAGCATCACAGTAAACCTTAGTCCAAACTACAATCACCAGGCTTGCTAAAAATATCAGATTGTTTGATTTAAAGGAGTGAAATTTAGGGTGTATAATATATTATCAAGTTCATACTTTAACTCTGAGTGTCAAGAAGTTGACTTTAGAATATCTTTCACTTAAACAGAAAACTGGGACTATGTATTAGTTAATAAATCAGAAAAGGGAGGAAAAGGATAGTTGGTTAAAGACCCAGATTTTTTTTTAATTAAGCCAACAGTTTTTCATACCCCTTATCTTTTTGTAATCCCCAGTCAGACATCAGTAAGACTTTTTTAGACCCATGTCCTGGCTGAATTTTTTTTTTTTTTTTTGGCTGCATTGGGTCTTCATTGCTGTGTGCGGGCTTTCTCTAGTTGCAGCGTGCAGGCTTCTCATTGTGATGGCTTCTCTTGTTGCGGAGCACGGGGTCTAGGTGCACAGGCTTCAGTAGTTGTGGCTCGTGGGCTCTAGAGCACAGGCTCCATAGTTATGGTGCACCGGCTTAGTTGCTCCACAGCATGTGGGATCTTCCCGGACTAGGACTCAAACCTGTGTCCCCTGCACTGGCAGATGGACTTAACCATCTGCACCACCAGAGAAGTCCCTGGCTGAATTATTTAGTAGCCAAAATGGTTGCCCATTAAGAGCCTCCTGCTACTCTCTCCTTCCTTTGACTTTGTCCTTCCCCTCCCCTGAGGAGCCCAGTATCCCCAGAGTATTCTAGGGTCCCCCACCTCTCAGTGCTCTTCCTCACTGACCACTGCAGATGACGCAGGGCCGGTTCATGATAACTCTATCCATGTAGATGTGGTCATGGCTGCCACTGGGTTAGGACAGCATCTAGCCCTCTCAACAGCAGCTTCGAGAGCTTACCTGGGAGGGTCCTTCTGGAGACACAGTATCTTTATGGTGGAATGTCAAAGCCCTGTTACAGGCATGATGGGATGCCTTAGAGCTTGTGGGGCCCTTCACATCCCAACAAAGGTTCACAGACCTTGGCCTGTGGGCCAGAATTGGACAGGCTGCGAAACAGAGTCAGCTAGGGAGATTTTGAAAAATGCAGATCCTCAGGCCCTGTCCCTTGGCATTTCTGGTAGAGTAGATCTTGTATGATGCCTAGGCATCTGTGTTTTTTTAAACTCTTCCAGATGTGATGTGAAGTCAGGTTTGTGTACCATCATACCATGGGGGTCCATGTATAAGGCCAAACCTAACCAAGTACATGGTATGTGCTCAGAATTGTGTGAGTTGCCATGGATGCACAGAAGGAAGAGCTACCATCAAGGAGCTTACAGTCTTTTTGAGAGATGGAACAAAAAGAAGTAAAGCAAGTAGAGTCCAAGACCTAGTCTGGGTAGAGGTCAAGGGGAGAGAGGGCTGAACTAATCAAAAGTGGCTTTTTGGACCTGATGAGTGGTCAGGAGCCATTGGTGGCTGGCGAAGTGTCATCTCTGGGAGCAAGGTGTCATGTTTGCACATCCAGTGTAGGAAGTCTGACTGCATGAGAGGGAGGGAAAGACATACATCAACACTAAGGAATGCATGCTGACGTTTCAGCTGCAGAATGCCCTGAGATCTTAGACTCAGTCTCCACAGGGACAAGCAGAGTCCAGAGCAGTGCCCCCAGCAAGTCATCCCCTGAGCTGAATGACAGTGGAGTGAAGCATGGTTCCTTTGAGATCCTCCGACAGGATCTCAAAGGAATGTGTGACTTGTCTCTTTTGCTCCAGGTCGGATTGCCGTCTTGTACCTGGCCCTTCTGTTTGGCGACACTACTGTTCCTCCTGCTGACCACGAAGAACCCCAACATCTATAAGATGCCCCTCAGTAAAGTCACTTATCCTGAAGAAAACCGCATCTTCTACCTACAAGCCAAGAAAAGGATGGTTGAAAGCCCTTTGTGAATGCAACCCCCATCCACAGCCATGGTCACAAGTCATTTCTGACTAACTACCCCAGTTGACTTCGAGGGTCTCAAAACTGTTGTTTTTACTACTAACAAATTTCATACTAAGTCATTGGTGATCTGTTCTTTTTCTCATTTTGTATTTTTCTTTCAGACTCCAAAACATGCCCAAACAAGTGACAAGACACATCAAGGTGATGTGCTCTGGCTATGGAATTTTAAACCCCAGTGGGGCATTGGCACTGAGACTGTACTGTATTTACAAAGTCAGGATGGTCCACCAGAGAGAGGAAGTAAGACCGAAGCTAATTATTGATATTCTTGGTGCTTGGTTGCACATGATGTTAACAGTATTAAAAAATTAACCTCTATAAACCAACTAAGCCTTAAGTGAATGGAATTCAGAGTCACAAAATCAAAGTCAACCCAGAATTCTCAGATAAGCCATTTGGCTTATTTAAAATCAATGCCAGTTACACATTACAGCAGTGGTCAACATCACAGGGCCCATCACTGAGCTCTTTCCCCAGCTCCTCAGCAGAACCGCCTCCATGCTGTCCCATGTGTGTGACATTCTCTTACAGGAGACGGTCAGTTTGTTTCAGGCTGGCAGAGCTGCAGGAGGGAGAATGGGATCCCATCCTTCAAAATTATTCTGTATTGTCACTTTTCTTGGATATTGCAAAGGATTTTTTAGGTAGTTTATTATCTTTTTTTTAGGAGGATAGATTTGTTTTCAATGAGGTAAAATAAGAGAAGTTCCTGGCTTTACCAGTTCCTAGGTATTAAAAAGTTACATTTTTCTAAAATACTCAGCATAGCTATTTTTACTTTAATCTACCTAAACTGATTTTGTAAATGCCACAAAAGCAGAGAATCGAATACCAAATCATCAACATCCAAGGGCCCTTTAAAGTCACATTTTCAATTCATTTAAGGATGTTATATATTATAAAGACTGAAGGTTAATGCCAGATTGCTTCTGGGTGTTTAGAAGTTGTTTAATTCTTACTTTTAAAAAAAATCACTATTTTCTGCACGCTTACAATATTCTCACTCAGAAACCAATGGTATTTGAACCATCAAAAAGAAATACAGGTAGGGGGCTTCCCTGGTGGCACAGTGGTTAAGAATCCACCTGCCAATGCAGGGGACACGGGTTCAAGCATTGGCCTGGGAAGATCCCACATGCCGTGGAGCGACTAAGCCTGTGCACCATAACTACTGAGCCCATGTGCCACAACTACTAAAGCCTGCACACCTAGAGCCCATGCGCCACAACAAGAGAAGCCACCGCAATAAGCCCACGCACTAAAACGAAGAGTAGCCCCCGCTGACCGCAACTAGAGAAAGCCCACGTGCAGCATTAAAGACCCAACGCAGCCAAAAATAAATAAAAATAAAATAAATTTATTTTTTAAAAAAAGAGAAATACAGGTGAAGGAGTCTCCTGTTTTGCTTTGTTTGTGTAAGTTATCAATCCTATAAAGATTCTATAACCAAACATGCTGAAGACGGCGGTGGGAAGCTCCGAAATTTTGGAGAATTGGAAAATGACACTGGAATCCTAAAGGTGTTTTTCTATTTGGGTTTGAAGTACTCAGTGCAAACTATACAGTTTGCTGAATGAACAAACAGAAGAAGGGAAGTAAACTTACAAATATTTTAGGGAAAAGTTCGCTTCTTCATTTTCTCAGGGAAACACTGTTCCAATTTAAAAACCTTGTGACCAAAGCCTTTTGAAACCATGACTTTGCAGCTGTCATAGAGTCATGTATATCTGTGGAAAAACTAAATTTTCAGTGCTGGAACTTAAATCTACCTTGTTAGGGAATTTGTAAAATAAGAGTTGGAGGGGGGGTACAAAAATGCAAGCAGACCAAAGATCACCAGGACTGGAGACCCTGGGGCAAGTTTGAGGGAACCAGAGCCTCTCAGTGTCTCCAAGTCCATGTTCACAGGGAAGCCCTAGCGGGCTGACCATATGCCCTTTTCCCACGTGCTCACACAGACTTGTAAATAGGAACATTTTAAAACCTTGTACATTGTCTAATTTAAATAGTATTCATTTTCTCAAGCTATTTTTGTTGCTATTATCCTAATAATTTTAGTGAATATTTTATTGATTTTCCTAAGGAGTGCTTATATTCTTTTCTATTGCCTGTATGACAAATTTCTATGTAAGAATATGAATAAATTATACGTACAACTCAGTTTTGTGTAAATTTTGTTTAGAAGTCATATATGCCTTTTATAGCCATTGTGTACATTAACAATCACACGCATAGGTATGTATTGCTTATATTTCAATGTACTAGAATCCTTATTCCTTTCTTATACTTCATAGTCACACCAGATGCGTAGTTGAGGAAACCCTGTTCAATTTCAGATTTATGAGCCCATCCCCTTGGTTATCCCCTCAACTATCCATTGGTCTCCTCACTCAAGAATTAAAATGCATTACTGAGGACAGTTACAGATGTTCAGGGCACTCTCCTAACACTTGGAGAAGAATATCCTGAGAGCCAGCTTCCATGCATTCCCAGACAGGCCCTGGGTACCCATCAGGACTGACACTGGGCCATGACCTGCCTCAGGGGTCAGTGTTCTAGGACAAACTACTGTTCAGAATGTCATCCCCCGAGGGTGAAGGCCAGTGCTTGTCTCTGCCTCCTTTAACCCATGGTTAGCATATTTGAAAGAAAACACACTAAAAATGGAAAGTTAGTCCAACCAGTTTCAAAAAGCTGCCCAAACAGGAAGCAAAAGGAAGCCACAATGACTTGGACCCTTGGAGTGCTCTCTGTCAAAACAAAACCACTCCCACCTATCATTTCAAGATAATAAATTTTACAAGAGTGATCTGCCTCCTTTGGTATGAGGTAGAAAACAGCGAGAAGGTTTTGAGCCTTTTTTGCTAAAGACTCCAGACACTATATAATTTCTGAGTTACAGGTGCCAATTTTCTTGCTACCCAGACACTTGATTACTGTGGAATATGTTGAGATTGGAAGGTTAAGCTCCAGGAGATCAGGAATTTCCAAGGGGGCCTCTTACAAACAAGCTTGCAAGAATATTTTCAAGCTTGTTAAGTATAGAACGAGGTTTTACATATGTGACTGTGTTCAGCCTCCCCCTTATCTAACAACTTCCTTCCAAAAAGCTTTAATCTTTAGAGTTAAATACCCTTCTTGAACGTGCATTGACAACCCCCCAGACCATTAGAAGGCTTGTAGATTCACAGCTACAGAGTTCCGTTTGCTAAAAAAATCTGCAGTGCAGATCTTGAAGGAATCTAAACAAATACAGTGAATGAAAGACTCTTAAAGAAGTGAATATAAGTCCTATAATAGTCTGCTTTCACAGCTCTTAAAATTGAACTATGAAATACATATAATAGGTCAGAGCAGACATATGCAAAGTCATCTAAAAGAAAAGAATACTTCCAGATCTGACCTTAACCTTATTAAGTATTAACCAGGTAGGTGTTAACATAGCTGAAGCAAGCTTACGTCTGATGCAGTAGCAGGTCAACCACTGAAACTTAGGATCTGGAGGCAAACATACGCAGGGGTCTTCAGCACACGGGGTGGTGGTCCAAGAACAGGTGTCAAGGGAGATCTCTGTGGTGGAAAAAGATGCACTGGGGTATCATGGTTTAGCTAATGATCATTTAATCAAGCAGCAAATGCCTCTTATATAATCCTGTATGCACAAGCTATCTGGCTTCCTGTGTAGATTTGTCTTCCAGAGGAAAAATGTACTTGTCCACACTCATGAGTTTCTGATCCTCGATAGTTACATTTCTCATTTTAATTAATAATTTAATTCAGATACATAAGTCTTTACAAGTTTTATTTGGCATTATATGTTACCAAAAAGCAAATCACCCATGGTGTTCCAACAAAGTTAAATTTCTGAGGCTACAAAGGTGGGTGGGGTTGGGGGTAGTCAGGGAAGGCCTCCCTGAGGACATGACATTTAGGCTGAGACCTAAAAAATAGACTGGAGTTGCGCAGGTGGAGGAAGGTAGAGGATGGAGGGAGCAGAGTTATTGGTGGAAGAAGTCCTCATGGCCTTTAAGCCTTGAGATGGGAAGGAGATTTGTGCTGTCAAGGAGAGAAAGAAGATCAGTGTGGCGAGAGCATGATGAAGGGAAGAAGCATCCGAGTGAACTCGGAAAACCAGTTAGAAGGCCACTGCAATAGTGCGGAAGAGAGGAGGTTGGATTGGACTCCAGTTGTGGCAGGGGGGGATGGAGAGAAGTCCATGGGAATAGAGGGTCATTCTCTTCCCATGCTCCACAAACCCATCTTTCTCAAGCTCCAACACAGACCCTATGTCCAACTGTCAACAGGGACCATGCCAAAAATGTCCCCTCAGTTTCAACACATCTAGGACAAAACCCAACTCCTTCAACTATTCTGCTCCCTCCCATGGTGGCTCATGGTGGAGGCAGCACCCTCCAGCCAACCGCACAAGCCAGAAACACTGTGCCATCCCTGACTCATTCCCTCACCTCTAGGCGACAGCCACATTCTAGGGATTCTACCTCCTGGACAGACCCATTCATTCATCAATTGGCAAATATTTATTGAATGACTATTTATTACATAATAGGAACCAGGACTACAGTAGTGCACCAGACAGTCAAAATTTCTTCCCTCAACAAGAGCCTTATGAAGTGAACTGACAAGTAAATGAGTAGATGGAGGAGTGTGGTGATGAGGATGAGAAATGCCAAGTGACAAGTTTGAGGGAAGAGTATTCCACTAACCTCTTCTTTCCAAGAAACAAAAAACAGGAACATATCATTAAATATCAGGCATGCATACCAGTCAGGATGCTTTTGGCTGCCAGCAACAGAATACCTGACAAAAAGTGGTTTAAACAGTGTCCTAAAAGTAGGAAGTTCTGTTCCAAGTTCGATGTAGCTGTTCAACAATGTCATCAAGGATGTGACCTCTTTCCACCCATCATCATTCTCAGCATCCTCAGATGGCTTCACTTTCATCCTCAGGTTTGTTATCTCATGGTTCCAAAACAGCTGCCTTATTTGCAAACATCACAACCACATCAGGAAGAAGGAGGAAACCAGAGCTTCAAGAGAGTCATTCTCTCACGTTTCTCTCTTCTTATCAGGGAGAAAAATCTTTCCCAGAAGCTCTCCAAAAATACTTTCCCTGGGACTTCCCTGGTGGCGCAGTGGTTAAGAATCCACCTGCCAATGCAGGGGATACAGGTTTGACCCCTGGTCCAGGAAGATCCCACATGCCGTGGAGCAACTAAGCCCATGCACCACAACTACTGAGCCTGCACTCTAGAGCCCATGAGCTACCTCCTGGACAGCCCCCATTCAGTGGGCAACTACTGAAGCCC